CCCACCAACTGCCCCAACCCCAGTCTTCAGCTCCCCCTCCTTCCCTCCCCCTGGCAGCCTCTCCCAAGGACAGGTCTGGCTTCAGTTGCATAGCGAGAAACCTGCAAACCTCTGCAGGAAGCACCTTACTTTCCCTTGTATCCTTTTCCCCCCTTCCCACCCGTTTCTCTCCTCCTGGCAGTCCTCATCTTCCCCTTCCTTTCTCTCCTTCCCGCTCTCCAACCAACCTACTTCTCATCCGCCCCCTCGTTTTCAGCTATACTTATTAGTTGTTGTCTTCCTTTATGCCCCACCCCTTTCTCCCCGTGGGGACCCCAAGGCGGCTTGTCTCCTCCATTTAATCCTCACACAACAACCCTCCGAGGTAGGTTAGGCTGGGAATGTGTAATCGGCCCAAGGTCGCCCAGGGAGCTTCCACGGCAGATTAGTGACTCGAACCTAGGTCTCCCAGATCCCACTATGAAACTCTGACCGCCACACCGCACTGGCTTTCGTGGGGGGGGGGGGGGGCTGCTGTTGAATGATGGCAAGCAGCCGGGCCTGGGAGAGTCAGGCAAGCTGCGTGGTATCTGGTCGCCTGGCCCCAGGGAGTCCTCCCTCAAAGGCCAGAGCAGCCCTGGAAAGGGCCCGCCCCCTCCCTCTGCCTTTGACCGACAGAAACCGAGGCTTGAGGGCTGGCAGTACTGTTGTGGTTGCCTAGCAAATGCCAGTGAGGGCATTCATTCCTTAAAGATACACATCCTGCTTCTATTATTCTGGGGCCTTTAACACCCCACCCCCTCATGTATTTTCACTGAATAAATTCACAACTTCTGCTCTACATTCTCACTACTGAATCCGGTCTTCCTTTCGTGGATCTTTTTGGACCTTTTGCGTGGACTTCGATATCGTGGACTCTATACTGCTTGAGCTGTCTGCTGTTTACTGCTTGTGTGTTTGAATTGAAGAGTTTTGCTCTCCTATTCAATTAAGTCCTCCCTCGGACGCGTCTTCTTTTTCTTTAGTCTACGTCCTCTTCACCCAAGCAACGGAGAGTGTGTGGAGTTGCTGGCCCAGAGGGAGCCCCCTCCCCGCCCCGCTGGTAGGAGGAAGAAGAAGGGATACACCAGCCCAGCTTAGCAGGCAGGGAGAAGGGAGACGATGCCCGGGGCGAGGGGGCTCGGGTGGTTGGCGGCCCGGGGGGGGGCCCCGCTGCCTGGGGGGGGGGGGGGAGACAGGTGTAGCTTGTTCATCCCGAGTCAGGCCATTGGTCATTCCAGCAGGGATCATTTACGTTTGCCTGGCTCTCTCCGCACGTGAGGATCGAGGGGCGCCTCTGCCTGGATGTCAAACCTCTGGAAACTGGCAGGCAGGGAAAAGGAAGCAGCGGGAGCACTGCGCAGGTGAGCCTGAGCCAGCTCAAGGAGAAGCCGGGCGGGCAGATGCCTCCGCGCAGAGCCGGCTCTTTCCCGGGCTCGAACATGCGCAGACGTTAGCATCTACGCGCTTATATCCCGCTTTCCTCCCCAGCTGGGACTCAGAGCGGCTCAGAACATCTTCCCTTCTCCGTGTCCTCTCAACAGCCCTGGGATGGAGACCAGGCTGAGAGCTTGTGATGGGCCCAAGGTCACCCGGCGAGCTTCCGCGGCAGAAGTGGGGATTCAAACTCGGGTCGCTCGAGGTCCCAGTCCGGCACTCTACCCACTACACCACGCTGGGGCGCCTGGAAAGTCCTGCAGAAGCGGCACGGGCGGGGAGGCCAAAGAAAACCTTCCCCCACCGAGCCACTCGTGGAGGCTGGAGCGCTGCGCTGAGGCCCTTCCTGCCTCCCAGCCAGGCAGGCAGGCTCCTCCGCGAAGCTGGGCTCAGGAGCTGCTGGACTGAAGAGGCACGCAGCCAGCGCTGAACACCTCTGCCTCCAGCCTCCCCACTTCCCCAAAGGCGTTTCTGCCCTGGGAGCTCAAGAGACGCCTGTGTTTTCTCCGCACGAGACGGCCACTGGGTTCTCCACCTCCCCCACGGGTCCTCCCTCCTCGGGATGGAAGAGCAGAGAAAGAGGATGGCGGGCCACGGCCGCGGGAACCCGGGGAAACATGTGCACAGGTGGCTGAGGGGCGTCCTTTTTGTTTCACGCTGCCACTCTATTTGTCGCGGCTGCCGCTGAACGAACCCGAGCACTTGGCCCCGGCGGAAGACCTCAGTACTGCTGGGCATGAGCTCTCGGCTCCTGAAAGCCCCACCCCTGACAGGACTGAAGCCACGGAAGCTGCTCCAGCGACAGCTGAAGCAGAACCACGCCGGATCAACACTCCCCCTGACCCACCCCCACCGGTGTCCCATTTGCGGGAACAACACCGACGGGACATGGCATCCCGGTGGCGGGAGGCGTGCATGTGCGGGAGGCGCTCTTTTAGCACTGAGTAGCCCGACTTACCTGAGGGAGCACCTCTCCCCACATATACCCCCAAAGAGCACTTCGGTCGGGGACACAACATCGCCTGGTGATTCCAGGCCCCCGGGAGGCAAGGCTCGCCACAAGCAGGGCCAGATCCTTCTCGGTGGCGGCCCCTACGTGGTGGAATGAGCTCCCGGAGGAGATTATGCAGTTCCGCAGGGCGTGCAAGACGGAGCTCTTCCGCCAGGCTTTCGCATAGGGGCTGCCACCGCCACCGATGGTGTGGATAACAACGGGGCTAGGGACGGCCCCAGGAAGACCGTCTACAACATTACGTGGCACTGGTGCCACCGGACTTACTTGGGACCAACTACAGGACGAGATCACCCCCAAAGAACTGACTGTTACCATCATGAGATTTATTCGGGGACCATCATGTTTTCATGGAGCATTTTACTTTTTCTGTGTTATCTAATGCTTTTATTATGTTTCACGTGGTCTCTGCCCCTTGTAAGCCGCCCTGAGCCCGCTCACGGGGAGGACGGGGTAAAAATGTCATAAATAAATAAATAATAGAGTGCTAGCGGGAGCCGGGACACAATCAGGGTGCGCTAATTGCCGACAGCCTGACGGGCTATTTAGCCCTCGCACTCACACCGACTCGTTGTGCTAGCAACTAGTCATTCTGGACAAAGCTTTGCACCCCACCACCCGTGTTCCTGTTCCTTGTTTTGATTTCTCGGCTCTTGACCTCGGCTCGTACGACTCCGCTCCGGACCTACACCTCGGACCTTTGACTCCCTGGCGTCCGACTTCTTTGGACTCTGGCTTTAATGACTACTCTAACGGTTGGTGATTTGGACTTGGTCTCTCGGAGTTTCTGCTTGCCCGGTTTTGACTTTGGACTGCCTTTGGACTCTCTCGCTTTTGCCTGACCTGGTACTGCGTTCGTGACACTATTGGCACGCAAGTGGGAGCAGGACGAATGCTCCCGTGGGAAAAGGTGTGAGGAAACCCAGGGATCTTTGAGAAGGCATTTGCGAGGTTGTGCAACGAAGAAGAGATTGGATTTATACCTCATGGCCCTTCACTACCCAAAGGAGTCTCAGAGCGGCTTACAAACTCCTTTCCCTTCCCCTCCCCACAACAGACACCCTGCTGTGAGGTAGGCGGGGCTGAGAGAGCTCTGACAGAAACTGCTCTTTTTCACGGACAGCTCTTGTCAGAACTATGGCTTGCCCAAGGTCATCCAGCCACGTGCAAGGGGAGGAGTGAGGAATTAAACCCCGTTCTCCCAGGCTAGAGTCTGCGCACTTCACCACGACACCAAACTGGCTCTCACCAAACAGAGGGCCTCTTCACTCGGCACAGACTAGGAGGACCGCCATCGCCCTGCAGAGCTTGGGCCACCCGCTTACTGTGGCTTCGGCCAGCCCCCCACAGGGCGAGGGCCGTGGGGCTAGGCGTGCTGGCGGCCGTGGTGGCACAAGCATGTCGGGCATCAGTGAACCTGGAGCACGATCCTGGACTTTTGCCCAGGGCCCCGGAATCGCTACGAGCGTCCCGAGTCATGGCTCTCACAGAGAAAGCCAGGAGGGGCTTCTTGCGGGGGGGGGGACTTCGATCAATACTGGGGGGGGGAAGCTGGGGTGGAGAGGAAGGTGTGAGAAACACACCACATGAACTGCCTTTACCCTTTGTTGGTGTCACTGCGAAATATTAACGTAGACTTAAATCTCTCTGTGTGTGTGTGTAAAGTGCCATCAAACTGCATCTGACTCGTGGTGACCCTGTAGGGTTTTCAATAACGCCGACGGGACATGGCATCCTGGTGGTGGGAGGCGTGCATGCGCGGGAAGCGCTCTTTTAGCACTGAGTAGCCCGACTTACCTGAGGGACCGCCTCTCCCCCCATATACCCCCAAAGAGCACTTCGGTCGGGGACACAACATCGCCTGGTGATTCCAGGCCCCCGGGAGGCAAGGCTCGCCACAAGCAGGGCCAGATCCTTCTCGGTGGCGGCCCCTACGTGGTGGAATGAGCTCCCGGAGGAGATTATGCAGTTCCGCAGGGCGTGCAAGACGGAGCTCTTCCGCCAGGCTTTCGCATAGGGGCTGCCACCGCCACCGATGGTGTGGATAACAACGGGGCTAGGGACGGCCCCAGGAAGACCGTCTACAACATTACGTGGCACTGGTGCCACCGGACTTACTTGGGACCAACTACAGGACGAGATCACCCCCAAAGAACTGACTGTTACCATCATGAGATTTATTCGGGGACCATCATGTTTTCATGGAGCACTTGTACTTTTTCTGTGGTATCTAATGCTTTTATTATGTTTCACGTGGGCTCAAGCTGCCCTGAGCCCGCTCGTGGGGAGGATGGGGTAAAAATGTCATAAATCAATAAATAATAAATTAGTACTAGCGGGAGCCGGGACACAATCAGGACACACTAATTGCCGACAGCCTTACGGGCTATTTAGCCCTCGCACTCACGCCGACTCGTGCTAGCAACTAGTCAGACGAAGCTCTGCACCTCACCACCCGGGTTCCTTGTTCCGGCTCCTCGTTTTTGACTTCTCGGCTCCTGACCTCGGCTTGTACAACTCCGCTCCTGACCTGCACCTCGGACCTTTGACTCCCTGGCGTCTAACTTCTTTGGACTCTGGCTTCAACGACTACTCTAACAGTTGGTGATTTGGACTTGGTCTCTTGGTGTTTCTGCTTGCCCGGCTTTGACTTTGGACTGCCTTTGGACTCTCTCGCTTTCACCTGACCTGGTACCGCGTTCGTGACACTATTGGCACACGGGTGGAAGCAGGACGAACGCTCCCGTGGGGGAAGGGGTCAGGAAACGCAGGGATCTTTGAGAAGGCATTTGCGAGGTTGTGCAACAGAAGAAGAAGAGGAGATTGGATTTATACTTGCCCTTCACTACCCAAGGGAGTCTCAGAGCTGCTCACAAACCCCTTTCCCTTCCCCTCCCCACCACAGACACCTTGTGAGGTAGGTGGGGCTGAGAGAGCTCTGACAGAAACTGCTCTTTTTCAAGGACAGCTCTGATCAGAACTACGGCTTGCACAAGGTCATCCAGCCAGGCGCAAGCGGCGGAGTGGGGAATTAAACCCCGTTCTCCCAGGCTAGAGTCTGCGCACTTAACCACGACACCAAACTGGCTCTCACCAAACAGAGGGCCCCTTCACTCGGCACAGACTCGGAGGACCGCCATCGCCCTGAAGAGCTTGGGCCACCCGCTTACTGTGGCTTCGGCCAGCCCCCCACAGGGCGAGGGCCGTGGGGCTAGGCGTGCTGGCGGCCGTGGTGGCACAAGCAGGCCGGGCATCAGTGAACCTGGAGCCCGATCCCGGACTTTTGCCCAGGCCCCCGGAATCGCTACGAGCGTCCCGAGTCATGGCTCTCACAGAGAAAGCCCGGAGG